ACTTTGTACAAGAAAATAAAAATGGTGGGCCGAAAAATATCCCTTTCCATGAACGGAATTACTTTTAAAATTTTAATATCCTCATAGTTCATTACAGTATATCCCACATTCACTTTTTCTATAGTGATAACCCGACAATTACTTAAAGGGTGGTCCTTTTTCTCTATGACGCAAAGGCCATTATACTGCACGTTGACTGTATTTGCAACGGGCAAACATTTATATTCGATCACACTGTTTAAAATTCTGCATTTTTAAATACTTCGATTTTAAATAGTAGAATTTGAATAGAATACATTTCCTCCCCTTCATAAACTAATTTTATAGTTCAAAAATCACAATGTTATTTCTCTTAAAGAAGCCTACATTCCCATAAAAACGCATTGAAATCTTGAAATTATATAGTGCAAAACATTACCAATATTAAACAATGTGTGCTACAGTATCAATATGCACTAGAAAACGCATTGTACACTACAGCACACTCTATCCTATACATGAAAGTGATGAATTTTACAGACTGGCCCAATCTGCAAAAGGTGAGTAAGTAAAGAAGAAATACAGTTTCTGAATATCTAGTATAATACAGGGTTATGCAAATCACTACAGTATAATGTTGCGTAATATACAAAGGGCAGTAGAAAAATATCACTGTAAAACAATGAATAAAATAGGTTAAAGTTTAACTAACGAGAAAACGTAGAATGCTATAAGAGAACAAAGGCAAATTTTAATAGGCACAAAGGGAAAAAACATACGCTCTCTTTTATCCAAATCTCTTGGTGATATATTTATAGCCATTCATAGAACGAGGGGTGGGTACGATAATTGATATGAATCTGGTAACATATAGTACAAGGTTCTGCTATGCCTATTTTCATCCCTCATATTTGGTTATATCGATCAGAAAGTTAAAATTGTCATAATTTTTATAAATTGTCATAATTTCTATGGGAAGCTGAAAATACTGGACGACCCCCAACCTTAAATTTTCCCCCACTGTAAATCGTGGATATATGGGAGAAACTGTTATTATTTTTCAATGTTAATATAGGGCATAACAGGATATACTATGCCCTATATTAAACAAGAGGTCTTATATTACGCATTTCTTACGATATAGAAAACAGTCTGTGCTGGAAAAAGATTGGAATTCCTTTAGTAGATAAAAAGAGAGGAAAAAAAAGTAATAATTCTAAAAAAAAAAAAAAAAAAAAGCTTTCAGATTTTATATTACACACAAAACGGCATTTTTTTTTTTTTTTAAATGTTCTGCGTGTTACCTTTATTTATTAAATATCATGTTCTTCGCATTTATACCATAAAATATTTAAAAAGAGTATATTTTTAGAATTTCCGATACAGAGTCTCGTGCGCAGGAAATTAATATGTTTGTTTTTTCGTACAGTATTGCCATTGCTCGTTTTGAAATTGTTGAGTTTGTTAATCAAAAATTCCTTAAAGTTTAAAAAATACGAAAGCGATAATAAAACAAATTCCAAATTTGGGCTTCCAGATTCCCATATTGGAGTGGAGGACGTTATTCAAAATTTGATATGTCTAAGTACCGTTGTTTTTTCACAATGTGAGAAACATACATAGATTCATGCAGATTTTTCATTATTTAATTCTTTTAAATATAATGCAGGGCTCTAATATTTGGTGGCAACAATCTGAAAAGTGAAACGCCATTTTATAGTGGATGGAGCAGAATACCAAAATGAATTAATAGCCCTTCTAGGCAAATTGCTTATTTGGGCTTTAAAAAAAAAAAAAAAAAAAAAAAAAAACCCCAAAGTCCTATATTTTATTTGTTAAACACAATTGCCTGTCAATGTATAAATAGTCATCAGTTATAGTTTGGGGAGGGGTTGACTGAATCCCAGGATGACTTGTAAGCTGAGAACACAAACACTGGCTTTCAAAGTTAAGCACACAAATGGCAAAATCAACAAAAATGGAAAAGTAAAGCTTTGTTTAATACTTGATAGCATATGAAGGTAACAAATGTGTTTATGCATGGAAAAAAAACAAGCATTATGTAGAAAGATATGACAATATCAGATCTGGGTCATTAACAAATTGATATTTAAAGCTGAAAACACACTAAAAGAATTTACATTGATAAGGCATGTGACCAACCACGGATCTTCACACAAACCTTACAGTACCTACCCTAATGAGGTGATTAACATCACAGATGCTAGCAGTGGTCATTTCTCCATTAAGACAGTTTCTGCCTAAGATTTATTGAAGGATGGCATCCCAAAAATATCCATTGGGAATAAGGTCATTGGAATACGACTGCCACTCATACAAGAAATGCTCTCACTATTTGTGTATTCGTTAACAATGTTAGCAAGATGGGGGCCGGCCATTACCACCCATAAGGAGGAAATCAGGACCAATTGCTGCAGCATAGTCTCACAAATGGGGTGTAGATCTTCATGCCAATGCTGTGCAGCCGTCACGGAACCGTCTTCAAAGATAAACATCTGAGTGTGATATTCCATTAAAATTCCAGCCCACATCACTTCTGAATGCGTAATGTTTGAAACCTGACTTCATTTGCTTTGTTCTCTCCACTTCCTTACACGCTTAATATCTGGCTCTAAAGTCCCAATCACATTATGTTTCAGCTATGCAGGACTTGAGGTCGAAAGGGACAATTCTCAGAACTCGCACAATTCCTGGAAACCCACGTAGCTAGGTTACCATTTTCAGTTACTACAAAGACTTGAACGTCAAACACTAATTGATTATCGCTCAAAAAGGGATCACGTGAGGCTTCAGAAGCAGAACTTTCATCTGATTGGTTGTCTTTACCCGGGATTGAAGTCCAGCCGAGATATTTTCGGTGGACAGGTTTGAAAAAATCCCGTATAGCCGCAACATTGTTTCCATAGCTAGGTGGGGCTCTTTTTTCTAGGTATTCTCCCGTTTAAACCAGTGCTAGCAGGGACTGTAGCCATGTGTGATAACCTCTTAACGTACATTTAGACTTCTCCATGAATAGGATGATGCGCCAATCTGAGACATTCCAAATAAGATGTTGACATTATTTAATATTGCCCCTCTGGAATGGGCGGTAAGTGACACACAAACAGTTGGTAATCCCACATATGATCTTTCATGTGAAGCCTTTGGTGCACAGCATTGGCAGATATTGTCTCTCCATATGATGCTGCAGCTATGAATGTAACAGTTGTGGAGGTTGCTTGGCTACTGTAAGAATAAACCAGTCTTTAAAAAGGATATTAACATTTGGCCTGGTCTCTGAACAACTGTTTGACTTGTTTCCACACTCGAAAAATTACAGAATAATCAACGGCAAAAAAAAGAGCGACATCTTTGACTTATTGCCCTGTTTCAAAGCATCTGACAGTGCTTACTACTCACTATCTGTCATTTATCTTCTTTCAACCACAGAAATCAAAATATTATTAAAAATTAGCCTGCAAAATTTATAAACACTTCTTATCAGCATTTAAATTAAATCTTACAAATTCTCAACTCTTCAGATGCCTGGCGTCTTTAATGACTGTCTATGTTCACATAGTCAATCGTGATTGGCTGTAATATACGATATTTGAGTAATGGCATCTGCATCTGAGTGATTTTCAGCCACTCAAATTCAACTATGCTTTTGAAAACTGCTAATTTAGATTGCATGCTTAACTTTTGAAAGCCAGTGTATAAGGTTCTACTGTGACCATTTTCATCAACCAGAAAAGAGGATGCATATACTTATTGCTGTTGTGACTTCTGCAGGAATTTGACTGGGACTCAAGTGTATTTACTTCTTTCTCTCATATATGTTATTTGTCATGTTCCACTTTTTTGAAAAATCTGCTACTTATAAATCTTATTACATATAAAAATGTATGTACCAAAAGTTTATAATTCAGACATAACAGCTACACAAAATAAAGTTATTAAATTTAAACACATCTTTTATTAACCAACAGTGCAATATAAAAAATAATAAATTTTAAACAAAACTGACATCAAAGTTTAAAAATGACATTTTTAAAATCTGAAGTTTTACCTAAGAATCATACTCACCAATATTAAAATTTTTTTAATTTACATATTTCATTTAAATATATAATGACTATAAAGTTTAAAAATATAACAAGCTTCAATACAAAAATATATTTAAATCAGACAAAAACATGATCACACTAGGAACAAGTGTGTCAAGAATAATGCTTCCACTTCCATTACATCTTTATTATTCCTTTAGACAAATGTTAATTTACAGCTATGCATATATTACTTTGTTACAATTTTTCAATATAAAACATTAAAAATAACAAAACAAATTCTTTGGCAAAAGCAGATTATGGACTAGTTTATATATATATTTGTTGTTACAAATTATGGCAGAGACTTGCAACTTAAAAGTAAGATGATGCTTAATGAAAAGGGTAAAGAAATTAAGTATAATGCTTTCATCTTCATCAATTATTTACTTTTGCTTAACAAGTACTTTCCTGTGAAAGAATAACTAACACGTCATGAGTGTTTTCCTAATAAATTTTAAATTTAACTAACATTCAAATTACACACATTAATGAATCTTTTCATTTTACTCTCTCTTCCAATGAATCCATAGCTTCAAGGAAAAAAGAAAAAAAAAAAAAAAAAAGAAAGAGAGAGAGACTTAGTTCTTATAGTCAGAATATTTTCTCATCATACTTATCAATTTTCCACACATATCTAAGGGGTAATTTAAAATGCAAATAACAACAATTATTCAGGCTTAAATGCATACAAATACAAAATTAAGATCAGCATTACGTCGAAAATGAAATAAAAACATTTATAAAACCTGAGATATTTTAATAAAAAAATAAGCAGAGTTAAAAAAAAAGAACTAAGCAGAAGTTTAATGTCTAAAAATTATTTCAAATAAAAATTTATATAAAATAATTCAGATTTCAAGTTAAAGAACAGTTTTTCAGAGGTTCAAAAATACAAACATTATAACAACAAAGAAAACTATAAAACTTCTTTTATTTCATATTTTTATATGTTACAATTACTGACTAGTGTAAATCTTAACATTGATCATTAACATTGAAACATTAAAGGAATTTATACTTGTACTTTTCATTGGTATCATAAGTAACCATTCATTTACAAAATAGTTAAAGTAGAAGTCAAGACTAGAATATTAGTTATATTTGCTTTTTTTCTGCATTTCCAGAAAATTGATATTACTATTTCCTGAAAACATCTCAAGCAACACAATCTGCATAAAAAATTCTCACATTTTAAGTATATATGATAAAGCTTTAATGGCACAACAAAAATTTTTAAAATATATTATTTATGGAATAATGGTAAATAACATATAAGTTATTTTATAATGTTTAATTTGAGCTTAATCATGATAGCACATGGAGTTTATCTCATTTTACACATGTACAATATTTTTGATATGCTAAGAATAAAACTGCAACATTTCAAAAAACTCAAACCATTCAAAATAAATTGTCATAGAAAGAAATCATTTCTTCTTTTCATTGCTTAATCAGTCTCCTTCAAGGAAAACTGAATTTTGTTAGGAATTTTATTAAAATTCATATGATTCATTATATTGCAGATTCAAAAATTTGTTACATAACCAGTTTTTGATATTTTAATAATCTATTAATATAATAAGCTTTTTTAAACATTTGGAATCAAATAAATCACTTGAAAAAGAAAGCATTTCGTTCTGAACAGACAAATGATGAATTAACTACATTTAAAAAGGCACAGTTATTTTGTAATTTGATAGAATGTAAATAAAAACAAATAAAATTATGCATTTTACGAAAAAAAAATTTACAATTTAGACAGAAGAACATTTTTTATAGACATCATTCTTGTGACAAAACCAACATTTCCTTGCAATTTTACCTTTCCAGCAAAAAATGCTTGCTCAATTGTGGTTTTTTTTGTTAAAAAATCATATAACACACTATCGTTCAAAGTAATGATACAATCTGTTTTCAAGTTTGGGTCAAATGATATATTAATTTTGCCTTTGTCTATTATAATGTTACCAACTGCTACATAATCAGAATTATCATCATGAACTTTAAATTTTATGGATCCATTTATATTTTTACCCAAAGAATTTTCTGCATCTTTTACCAATGAAAGTGCTTTAGTAAAAAATTTTGAAGATTTCAACTTAAATATATCTGCGGGTGGCTCTAAACTCCCACTAGGAGCTTGCACAGAATTTTTTCGAAAACCCAATCTATACAAAGCAACTACTACTGCTCCACCAAGTCCAATGTTGTGCTGAAGAGCTAATTTGGCATTTGGTACCTGCCTTTCTCCAGCTTCATTTCGAAGTTGCCAGCAAAGTTCAGCGCACTGAGCAATGCCAGTGGCTCCTAAAGGATGTCCTTTAGATATTAATCCTCCACTAGGATTTATAACATACTTTCCTCCATATGTGTTGTTTCCAGAGTCAACTAATTCAGCTCCCTTTCCAACATCACACAAACCTAAGGCTTCATATGTAATAAGTTCATTCGTGGAAAAGCAATCATGCAATTCAACAACATCAACATCAGATGGATGGATACCAGTTTTTTGATAAAGCTTATTTGCAGCATTTTTTGTCATATCAAAGCCTATCATCTTAATGCTGCTATTTTCTTTAAATGCACTAGGAACATCTGTCGACATTTCCATACCAACTATTTCCACAGCTTGATCTTCAAGTCCATGAGCATGGACAAAATCTTCACTTGCTAATATTGCAGCAGCTGCACCATCAGATGTTGGACAGCATTGCAACTTTGTTAGAGGTTCATAAACAACAGGTGAATTTAATATCTGATTCAATGAATATTCATCCCTAAACTGAGAATTTGGATTTTTTACCGAATGCTTATGATTCTTGTATGCAATTTTTGCAAAATGTTCAGGTTTTGTACCATACATTTCCATATGCTCCCTCCCAGCACTGCCAAAGAACTGAGCAGCAACCGGAGCTGGAGCAAACCCATGTCGGTTTGATAAAACTAAAACATGCTTATCCATGGGATTTGTACGATCATCAAATTTAGATGTCAAGGATCCTCGTGCCATCTTTTCGAATCCTAGAGCAAGGGCACAATCACATATACCTCCCTCAATTAATTGTTTTCCCATATATAAAGCAGTAGATCCTGTGGAACAATTATTATTTACATTATAAATAGGTATGCCAGACATTCCAACTTCATACAAAGCTCGCTGACCACACGTTGAATCCCCGTATACATAACCAACACAAGCCTGTTGCACTGAATCGTATCTGATTTTGGCATCGGTCAAAGCTTTTGTCACAGCTTCTCTTGCAAAATCTGGATAATCAGCACCTGTTGAGCCTGGTTTTACAAATTTTGTCATTCCCACTCCAATGACAAAAACTCTTCTTTTACCTGCAGCAGACATTTTTCCTGTTTCCTAAATTATGCAAGAAAATTAAAGACCAATTATATAACACAAATAATTTTATAGTTGCTCATAATACAAACACAAAATTATGAGCTCAATTTTAATTAACATAAATATTTCAATAAACGTGCATGTTAAACTAACACATACTGGATCTGATGAAGACTAGTCCCAATTTTCTTATATGTAATACTAAAAAAGTAACATTCTTAGTTGTCAGTTAACTTTAAATTAATATTTGAAAAATATTATTATTTCATCATTTATAAACATACATGAAGTATTACAATGTAATTTAATTGAAAAATAAAAATTAATCCGCATCTAATTTTATGATTTGCATTTTTCACTCTCTTTTGATGTTAGACTTAAGATATTATAAGAGCTTTAAAATATGAGTTGCCTACTTTAGTTATTGTTTACTTGAGTTATTATTTCCAGCACGAGCAGTGACATCAACATCTTGGTTAATTTTATTCAGAAAGGCAAAGATAAAAAAGTGGCAAAGGGGGAAAAAAAATGTGTGACATGGATGCATTCAGTTCACCAATATTTACTTTCACATGTAATGTTTCCGAAAATGATAATACTAAAAAATAATCAGAGATCATTGAGCAGTAAAAAAATTTTAGTTCCTTCTTTGTGCTAGATGAGCTAACATCAAAAGTATCTGAGACAAATAACATCAAAAAAGTATCTGAGACAGATCACTGTGGAATGAAAATGAGGACTGAATATTGCAGAGGATATATGTACAATGGCTAGTCATTTTAATTTAAAGCATTATTCAATTTGTAAAAGAATCAGGAGCTTACTAGTGAACATATAAATAGATACTTTCACAGCATTTTAATTAGGAAAGGCAAAAACTTGTTTATAAAAGAGTTCATAATGTTTTTAATATAATAATTCATTTATATCATAACATTTTTGGATCTTATTTGACCAATGCTGAATCCCTAAGCCTAATACATGGGCGGGTATCTTTCACTGAAAGAAAACATGACAATGTAAAATTGAAAATTAGGCAATAAAAAGCAACCTTAGTAAATATTTTCATGGATCCCCCCCCCCACACACACAGCATGGAAAAAGGAGGGAAAATCTGCAGAATTTTCTCTTGAAGAAGAGGGACTTGTGTCTTACTCCCCTCAAAATAGATAGAGTCATTCAGAATTTACACCAAAGTAAGGGTTCTTTTTTTTTTTTTTTTTTGGCTTAATTTTAAATGGTTGATTAAAATTTAAACCAAGCTGTTTGATGAATTAATCCCTCACTAGGCAACATTTTTCTGTCACTTGCTAATTTTGATAATCTACTTTGAGCTTATTCGGTGTCTTTACTTCAGTTTAAAAAACATTATATATTTTGATCAAATTAACAGAATTGTTGATCACAATAAGTGAAGTACTTTCCATGTTTTCATATACAGATGGGTGCAACTTTGGCAATTTGAGAACAATATGACTGTAGTAACAGTGATTACATTAAGCACCATCCACCAACAAATTTGTTTTTGTTTAATTCAATTTTCTGCAAATCTCTTCTATTCACCAGCATTGGTCACCTATCCATTCTACTTTTTATTCACCAACTTATTTCAAAGTTATATTAATAGGAATTTAAACATAACAAAGATTAAAAAAAAAAAAATTAAATCAATGTGGATTAAAACAGCATGATTTGCCAATGCAAAAGTATTTAGTATATCATTCCAAATGGATAACACACACATAAATAAACACACTCTGTACACAAAAAATATTACTGTTGCAAATAATTAGAAGTTAATCTTCTGTACTGCAAGTTACTTAAAAGTAAAGCTCTTTAGTTATTTTTGATGAATTTTGGATGATTTTCAAACATCTGTTAAGAATATGTTTATTAAGCAAAACTGCTTATTCAGCACCATGGATGTCTTCAGAATTCATTTACTGAGAAGCTTTCTACAATAATTCAGATCATTTTCTATAGTGATTTCTATAATAATTCAGATTGTGCACACTCTAGCTCCTAGTGTGACACCTATTAATTCCAGATAAGGAATTATGACAGATTTCATGGGAGCTGTTTTAGAATCTCCACACCAGAAAAGTTTCAGTTTTCAAAATATTGTTACAGCACACACATTACTATCTTACTTCCATCTTACTTACACATTACCATCCTCCTTTTCCATAGGGCTGGTGATAGGTATTTTGCTGCCCAGTGAATCCCTAAATTCTGCTGTTCAGTGCATGCCTTAAATTCTAAAAATTTTGTCATTCCTAAATTTTGCTGTTTGGCACTTCGCTAAATTCTAAAATTTATGCCGCTCTTAAATTCTGTTGCCAGGCACATCTGCACTGGCTCTGCTTTTGTATGCAATAAATTTTTTATATTTGGAATCCGTGTCTTTACAGAAATTTAAAAATAAATGGCTGTTAAAGGCAAAGCTTTGAATAAAATTTATAATTTTGACAGCATTCTGATGCACATCATTCAATTTCCTTTTTTTTTTTTTTTTTTTTTTGTTGTTTGTTTGTTACAAGACTCTTTTGATGGATCAGACAGTTAAGTTAAAATTTACGATTTTGAGAGCATACTGATGCACATCATTCAATTCCATTGGTTTTCTTTCTTTCTTTCTTTTTTTTTTTTTTTTTTTTTTTTTGTGTGTGTGTGTGTGTATGTGTATGTGTGTTACAAGATCCTTTTGTTTTGATGAATCAGACAGTGTATAAAAGTTACATAATCATTACCAGCAACTTTAAGATATGATTTAAAGCCAATATTTTTGCCTGTCAGCACTTTTCAGCATCTGAGCATACTTCATGACAATTTTTCCATTTTAAACCATCCATTTAAAAATCCCTTCATATGGTGCAAGTAAATAGTTTTTGCTAATAGTCAAATTTTTCAAAATCTTTTTTTCTTTACTTGAAAACTTTAACAGTCATTCAAAATATTCCTCTGGTTTACTGATGTATTTGAACTCAAGATGCCTTTTAATTTTTATGGTTTTATATTCTCCACAGCCTAAACTTTATTATAAATTAAGCATAGAAGTTGCCCATTATTATAACCGTTATTAAAGTAAAGCCAAACAGGAAAAATTGCTTATCCTATTTTTCTTTTTTGAAACTTAGGTGGCTCTTTCCGATTATGATCTTGCTTGAAGAGACTGTAGCATTTTCATCAGCATTAACACGTTTGTTACTCAAGTTAAACCATTTATCCATGGGTAAAAAAATACTAAAACATAAATAAAATAACATCTCTCATAATAATTATTCCAATAGCAATTTTAGTCAAATTAAGCAGTAAAACACAATATTGTATCCTTCTGTATACACTTATTATGAAACAGAACCAACTGACTATGCCAAAAAAGCATTATCATTACATTAGCCAATCATATTCTGGGCACACCTTTGTGTTGCACAATGTTATGCATGATGCATTTACTGGTATTTTTCAACATGTAAATAGAATTTATAGCTCAACTTGGCTAGTATTATGATTTCATAATTGCATTGTACAGAAAATGTAATATATTAAATCAAAAATAATGAAGTGACTGTGATTAATGTTTCTTTAAATTCATGTATTTGAATTAATTTTTGTGACCCCATTTGATATCATGACCCACA